ATTTTTTTTCTTCCAAATATCAACATAAAAACATTAAATATGGATCGTTTATTTTCCCTTTTTTATCAGTGCTACAGTATTTTTTCTCTTTCCTTACTACCTTCTCTTTCTTCTTTAAATAGTAAGGGTAAATTTGGATTTCTCTTAATTTTCAATATTTTAAACATTTTGCTTTTTTTTTTTTTTATATTGGTCAAAGGACTCTTTGGAAAACTGGCCGGGTCAACCGACTGTTGGCCACTAATTCCTCCAACAAAAGAGACAATTATCGTAAAAATTGGAAAACTATATTTTATCGAAATTATGTGCTGCTTTACCTTTTATTTAGCATGCTATTGACTTGAAGATCGATCAATTTGTTTAAGAAGTTCATTTTCACCTTAATTTGGCTCTAGGATATCAAGATTTTTTTTATTAGTCTATAATTACTATCGCATTGTCGAGTGATCGATGCTGTGTGGTTGTTTTGACTTTCTGGATGTTAGTAAATGATACCAATTCCACTAAAAGTTTCAAGTATTTATTTCAACCAAATAGTATTTTTCTCCACCGAAAGCTATCTTATTCATGTAATAATTTACTCTTGAAATGTTTTACGGACTTCATTTCTGTGATATTGTTGTAATTATCCCAATGGAAAAATTTTCGTTTTTATTTGCTACACTTAAAATAGGTCTTAGGTTGAATAATATCAATATTTTTTTCTATTCTTCTATGAAATTTTAGTAGCAACAGATTAAGCAAATAAGGATTAAGAGAAATAGAAAGATATGGTAATTAGTAGTAGTCTCTTAATAAAAAGAGGAACAAAAAGAGAAGTAAATTAAAATGAACATCAGAACACATAATTTATAAACACCTAATATATAATAAAGAAGGCTTAAATAAAAATAAAATAAAATAAAAAAGAAATATTATTCAACTACAATAATGGAGAAGACAGTGGTAGCCATCTATAATTTGACTACAATACTCACATTCTAAATCATTGAAATCAGCTATACCCATCTTTGAAATTCCAAATTCTAAGATAGCAATGGAACCATACTAAAAAATAAAAATATACAATTAATCCAAATTAATCACTACAAAGAAATACACAAAAATTCTAAAATAAATAATTTTACCAAATAATTAAAAATTTAGGAACATCATTACACATACTTACCCTGTACGCATTCAAACCATCTACTCCTACCATCACACCTTTATTTTTTTCCTTTCAGCATAAAATTCTTGACGTTACTTAAGGATGAACAGCAGCAGAATCAAGTATCTCTTTTGTTCTATAGGGATAGCAATAGGGACAAGGACACTAAGGATGGACGAGTTTAAAGCTCACATTAATGTGTACTAAAAATCCACATCAATCAGATACTTCTTTGTGCAAATTTTGCAACGTATGAAAATTTTCTACTATGATTAGGGAAGTAACGAAAGTTCAATACATAACAATCAGTTTACACATAAAGTCTCAGAACGAAAATACACACAGACAATACAGTTCTGGCAGTTTTATGAACAGGCATAATTTATCAACGCCCAATGTAGAATAAAGAAAGCCTAAATAATTTATCATTCCGCGATTTACCTCCCTCACAAAGCTCTAGGGGCCGGGCGGTGGGGGCCTTCAAGGTTGGGGTTCACCCTTTAAGAAAGCCTAAATAAATTTAGAAGAGAGAGAGAGAGAGCAATTCGATTACAATAATGGACAAGACAAAGGTAACCATCTTCTTTCAAGATTATGAAATTTACATGGCCAAGCTTATAAATCTAGATAATCCCCATGTTTGCACTATATTTCTAACAATAAATTACACCCACAGTTCAATGTTCGACTCCTTTTGCACTTCTATCTTCAACATTTATACATGACTTTTTAAGTAGTTCTATTCTTCTTCATAGCTTGTTTGCTAATAACCCCGTCAAAATTATTCAAAAAAATAGTCTTCTTCTCACACCCCTACCCCCATCTACAATATGCTCCAAGAATCACCCAAGAATGAACAAGAAACGAAAAAAATCACAACATAAGACACCGTGCAGTTACACGAACGAATTTTCATTCTTGCCTCTTCACTGGAAAAGCTCAAAATCTGATTTGTACGTACAAGAAATAGTAAGAACCATTGCACTGCTAATCGAGAATTATTTCAAATAAATAAATCAACAATATAAAAAGGAAAAATTACAAACCATAATGATGAAGAACGCGGAGACGAAATTACATTTCAAGAGAGAAGGTATCGGCTGACTTTTGTTAGATCTAAAGAGAAACGCACAAATCTAAAAAAAAAAAAAAAAAAGACGAACAAAGGGAGCATAGATCTCACCGAATATACAATCGAAATGTTGAACCAAGAAGCCACCGAAAGAAATCAACGATAGAACGAGAATTAACAAGAAAATGAAAATCGATTCTTCAAAATGTGTAGACAAACGACAGTGAGAACAACGGTCGGAAGAGTGTAACAGAGAAGGTGAGATAAAGCTATGACGAAATGGAGTGAAAGAGTAAAGGTGGGATACAATTGTGAAGGGATGAGGGTTGCGTGAAAGTAAAGAAGCAAAACATCTAGCAAATCTACATTGGTTGAAGGATAAAATATCAGGCTAAGTTTAAAAAAAAATAAAGGAAAAAACGGATGAATAGTGCCAGAATGAAGTCCCTCTTTTATTGTACACGGATATATATAATGAACATCCCCCAACAAAAAAACATAAATATGCACCCAAGAAATAGAAAAATTGAAAATACATATCAATCTGGAACTTAAGCAAGTACCCAGAAGAAAGAATCGAACATAAAAATCACAGTCTACGTGTAGGAAGCATAAAATTTATGGATCAATCTAAGAGAAAGGAAAAGCACATTCTTCTGCTACAGAAAAAAAAACAGAAGAAGAAAAACCCTTTCGCCATTGCAAAACTAAAGGGAACATAAGAGTAAAAAGATAGACTTGAACGTCAACAACAATATACATACTCTTGATAAAACCCAGATTACAGATCAGTGTGGCAATATCGCAGATGCTAAAGCTCCAAGAAAAGAAAAAATCCAAAAGTAAGGGATTCAAGAAATTAGGAGAGGGAAAAATGACTCCAAAATAGAAAGATTGCCTCTCTAGTGAAAATAAATACCATATCTTGCTGAATAAATAGTGAAAATACCATACGTAGACATTAACAACAAAAATTGGTCATTCAATGGACAGAAATGAATTAAGAAAAATAAACGCTCACTATAATAGCATTAAATAAAGTTTTGCAGCCATAACACAATTATGGCGAGCTTTAGTTCCTTATTTTTCCTACGTTCTTCTATAACCTCACAGACAGTTAATAAGTTTAAATAAACTGATGGAAAGAGAAAACAATAGAAAAGTCAGAAGAAGAAACATTAATCTCGCAAAAACCGAAAGTAGGGCACATACAGAACAAACTACACAAAAAACAAATAACTTTCTCCATTGCAAAACTAAAGGGAACACAAGAGTACAAAAGTAGACTTAAACGGCAACAACAATATATCTATTCTTGCTACAACCCAGAATGAAGATTAGTGAAGCAAGATTCCACATGCTAGAACACCCCCCTCCCAAAAATAAAAATAAAAATAAAAAAAGACCCCGTACAGAGATTCAACAAATTATTAAAGTGAAAAATAACTCAAGAATAAAAACTTACCTCTCTAGTATGAAGATAAAAACCAACAATGAAAAAAGATTTCACGGGTGAGAACCGATAAAAAAATCGAACGATCCTTCGAGCAACCTCGACATACGCCTAAAAAAAATATCGAATCCCAGAAATGATCCAAACTAAAATACGAAAATAAAAAAAATACGAACCTTTCTTTGCTACACGACGAAAAAAAATATAGAGCACCAAAAGAGATTTAAATCGCCCAAAAAATTTTACCTATTCACCCTACAAATTGGAAATGAAGACTAGCAAGTAAGATCCCGCTGTCGCGGCAAAAAAAAATAGAAGAGACGACATATGAAAAAGGGGGAAATAATAGAAAAAAAACAAATACTAAAAGTACCTCTCTTCGGTGGGAAGATGAAAACTATCAACAAATTAAGATTTCACAGGTGATAATCGATAGAAGCTTGAAAGAAAATAAGATCTAAGACATTGCAAAACCGTATAGCAAAAGCTGCGGCTGAGAGGAAAGAAGAAGAAAGTTTTGAGCTAGGGTTTCAACTACTGCCATTTTATATGGTAGACAAAACGACGTCGTTTCGTGCTAAGGAAATGTATATAATAATGCTGTGT